TTCTTTAATCTTCCTGTTTCTGGGACACATAGTGTTGTGGGAGCAACGATGGGTTATGCATTAGTGGCACATGGAATAAAAGGGATTCAGTGGAAAACTTTTGGAATGATCGGTGAGATTATTTTTAATAGCTAGGGTATGTATATGAACATGACCACCTAAATTCAATACACCTTTATAAATTATTTGTTGGCCATCAATGCAGAGCTGAGATGTCTGCATTGCATAGAAAATATTATAAGCTGGTGTCCTCATAAATTAAAGCTTAAATTTTATACTTATAATATAACTCTGTCAAAAATGAGGTCAGTTGAAAACATCGAACAGCACAGTTAAATATGAGAACTTGCAAAAAAGCAAAAATACAAAAATGGTAATGTACTCAATAAAGTTTGATACGGGGATGTTCTGCCCAAAGGTTCAACCCCTTAGCCTTTCATATATTACCGTTTTGGACAGAAAAGGTGCCTCTTTTGTATAACATTTATTGACAAGTGGTTCCCCTTTCACAAACTAGTTAAGAACACGGCATACCTTTTAAATGCTCTAAATGAACAGTCTTTTAACTATGAATAAATCACACTAACAAAGGAAGTTTTCTGGTCTTTTTCACAGCCATAAATTGTACCTGTTAGCCCTTTTAGGTACTTGCACAGACCACACTGACAGATTTCCCTTCCCCTTCTTATACTTCACCTTGTGAAATCCCTACCCTTTCATATACTTAAAGCCTGAAAAAGGTACCCCTTTGGGCGGAGCCTCCCCATCTAGGCCATTATTATCCCCCCTGGCTCCCTGGGTTTCTTATTGTTTGAAGGAATACAGGAAAGGGCTATTACACATAAAAATGTTGGAAACTGGGAAACTGCTTACCTACCCCTCCCCTAAGCCACCATTTTGCCTTAAGTGAGAAGTAAGTGTTTATGTTGGCTTAGGGGAGGGGTAGGTGGGGCAGTTTCCCAGAAACGTGTAATGATCCAAAGTGTCAATTTTACTTGTTCACATTACGTAACAGTCTAAATGATGCACAGACAACAAGAAAATATGTGTGCATGTAATGTTACAGCTTCATTTCTTTTTTGTTATAGCTGCATCATGGGTTATCTCTCCTCTCATGTCAGGAATTGTAAGCTCTGTCCTGTTTGTAATCATTCGTCGCTTCATTTGTAGCAAATTCGTTTGGGACCTCTGTTGGAGCCAAAGTATTAACTCTACGACAGGCTTGTGTGATAGCCACCATTTTTGAGCTTGCTGGAGCTATTCTTATTGGGGCAAGAGTTTCAGGTATGCGATAAGGGCTCCGCGATAAGCAGTACTATATTCTGTGCTCAAGCTTTATATAAGCCTATGTTATGCAATTAATACTGAACCTTCTATATAGCAAAAAACGACAGTAGTTCAGCGCTTTGCCCCAGCAGAATAAATTCATATTATATTTCATATCTGGCTGCGATTAAAGGGTGGTATTTTCATTGGAAGAGCGCGGATTAATATTTTTTTCACTGGCCGCATTCCACGTGCGTGGATCGCTGGTTTTTATGTACGGTTCAATGGCGAATGTAAACTATGACCTTGAAAATTAGAAATTTTTTTTCATCAAAACTATTCAGCCTATTATATGCGATAAGCGCCAATTTTTGACAATTATCGAGAACCTGCATAAACATTGCTGTCAAGGAATGTGCATAAAAGGCGGATAACTGATGCTCGCTTTACGGTTGGATTCCTTCGCAATTTTTTTGGTCTGTTTCGGCCTTTTAAAGATAAAAATACGTCCAGGAGTCCAGGTCATTTCTTGTTGAAGTTTGTTAATTGATTAATATTGATTTTCTTGCAAAGAACATTTTTTAGTGTACCAATGTAAAAATAATTGTTCATATTTTGTAGAAGAAGTTTATCATAAGAAACCCTTTTGTTTTTACTGCAATTTGAACCTAATTGTTTTGTGTCAAAGGATTAATTTTTAAAATAGTGAACATGCATAAATTTGTAATTCAATGAAGCATGTTCAGTAATTGTTGTGGTTGTTTGAACTATCTTCTGATATCTTTCAAATTTTTCAAATTTGATTTTACAGATACAGTTCGAAAGGGCATCATAGACATTAATTCCTTTAATGGTACGGAACAGCTTGCTATGGTTGGTTCTCTCAGTGCTTTAAGTGGGACAGGAATTTGGCTGATAGTTGCCACCTTCTTTAATCTTCCTGTTTCTGGGACACATAGTGTTGTGGGAGCAACGATGGGTTATGCATTAGTGGCACATGGAATAAAAGGGATTCAGTGGAAAACTTTTGGAATGATCGGTGAGATTATTTTTAATAGNTTCATCAAAACTATTCAGCCTATTATATGCGATAAGCGCCAATTTTTGACAATTATCGAGAACCTGCATAAACATTGCTGTCAAGGAATGTGCATAAAAGGCGGATAACTGATGCTCGCTTTACGGTTGGATTCCTTCGCAATTTTTTTGGTCTGTTTCGGCCTTTTAAAGATAAAAATACGTCCAGGAGTCCAGGTCATTTCTTGTTGAAGTTTGTTAATTGATTAATATTGATTTTCTTGCAAAGAACATTTTTTAGTGTACCAATGTAAAAATAATTGTTCATATTTTGTAGAAGAAGTTTATCATAAGAAACCCTTTTGTTTTTACTGCAATTTGAACCTAATTGTTTTGTGTCAAAGGATTAATTTTTAAAATAGTGAACATGCATAAATTTGTAATTCAATGAAGCATGTTCAGTAATTGTTGTGGTTGTTTGAACTATCTTCTGATATCTTTCAAATTTTTCAAATTTGATTTTACAGATACAGTTCGAAAGGGCATCATAGACATTAATTCCTTTAATGGTACGGAACAGCTTGCTATGGTTGGTTCTCTCAGTGCTTTAAGTGGGACAGGAATTTGGCTGATAGTTGCCACCTTCTTTAATCTTCCTGTTTCTGGGACACATAGTGTTGTGGGAGCAACGATGGGTTATGCATTAGTGGCACATGGAATAAAAGGGATTCAGTGGAAAACTTTTGGAATGATCGGTGAGATTATTTTTAATAGCTAGGGTATGTATATGAACATGACCACCTAAATTCAATACACCTTTATAAATTATTTGTTGGCCATCAATGCAGAGCTGAGATGTCTGCATTGCATAGAAAATATTATAAGCTGGTGTCCTCATAAATTAAAGCTTAAATTTTATACTTATAATATAACTCTGTCAAAAATGAGGTCAGTTGAAAACATCGAACAGCACAGTTAAATATGAGAACTTGCAAAAAAGCAAAAATACAAAAATGGTAATGTACTCAATAAAGTTTGATACGGGGATGTTCTGCCCAAAGGTTCAACCCCTTAGCCTTTCATATATTACCGTTTTGGACAGAAAAGGTGCCTCTTTTGTATAACATTTATTGACAAGTGGTTCCCCTTTCACAAACTAGTTAAGAACACGGCATACCTTTTAAATGCTCTAAATGAACAGTCTTTTAACTATGAATAAATCACACTAACAAAGGAAGTTTTCTGGTCTTTTTCACAGCCATAAATTGTACCTGTCAGCCCTTTTAGGTACTTGCACAGACCACACTGACAGATTTCCCTTCCCCTTCTTATACTTCACCTTGTGAAATCCCTCCCTTTTCATATACTTAAAGCCTGAAAAAGGTACCCCTTTGGGCGGAGCCTCCCCATCTAGGCCATTATTATCCCCCCTGGCTCCCTGGGTTTCTTATTGTTTGAAGGAATACAGGAAAGGGCTATTACACATAAAAATGTTGGAAACTGGGAAACTGCTTACCTACCCCTCCCCTAAGCCACCATTTTGCCTTAAGTGAGAAGTAAGTGTTTATGTTGGCTTAGGGGAGGGGTAGGTGGGGCAGTTTCCCAGAAACGTGTAATGATCCAAAGTGTCAATTTTACTTGTTCACATTACGTAACAGTCTAAATGATGCACAGACAACAAGAAAATATGTGTGCATGTAATGTTACAGCTTCATTTCTTTTTTGTTATAGCTGCATCATGGGTTATCTCTCCTCTCATGTCAGGAATTGTAAGCTCTGTCCTGTTTGTAATCATTCGTCGCTTCATTTTGTCAAAGGTGGGTTTGTGCAGGCATGGCATTAAAACTTAAAACAGTTTGCCAAACTTTTTCAAATTTCAATCCATGTCCATCCTTGTCATCTGTAGTAACAGACGACAGAAAACAGTTTTAATGCCTAAATTATAGTCTTAAATAACAAAACTGGGCCATCATTTCTAGAATTCAATAATGCGAAGACACATAGCTTTACAAAAAAAGCAAATAGCATAACAAAGCCCGTTTAATGACTTCACCTCAGATTTAATCTTTAAAACAAATTTCTAGTGTTTATTGGCCTAATACTGAGTTGAAATGAGCTAGATGTCCAAAATTTAGCAGAAGTTATGCCCATAAAATGTGTCTTTAATTCCTTTTTCGTTTCTGTATTTCAGATGATGTCATTTGAAATTGCTCTAAAGTCGCTTCCAATCTTCTACGCTTTCACAATCGCTATCAACTTTTTCTCTGTGTTTTACAAAGGATCTCACGGTATTTTTTTCATCAAACCTGCATAACAGGCGTTTTTTGGGCGTTCTTCAGGCGTGTGAAGGCAATCGCGAAGCGAGCGAGGAGCGCCAGACACGCGAGAAAAACGCTTGCCTGAAAAACGCGAAGAAATAACGCCTGTTATGTGGACTATGCTTCATCCCCCTTACTCTGTAGCTTTCGTAGCTCTCGTTTGCTATCGCCGCTCGTTCACACCCTTTTGCGCAGCTTTTTTCCCCTCTCGCCAAACAAACTCGCAGGCTACTTTGTAGTTAAAGCTGTGGAAAGTTTTTTTTTATGAACCCATGATTTTACATTTAAATGGATATAATTCCGAAAGTGATTGTTTGATTGAAAGTTAATTACTGCTAACAATTAAGTACAGTCGAACCTGCATGCGCGACTACCTGCACTGAGCGCCTTCTTTAAACACCACAATACTTCCAATCAAAGCCTATTGGCTTCCGTTTGGAATCGCTCGTAAATGATCAGCACAGCTCTAGTAAGCGACCGCGACCACTTTTTGGGCTGACGGCCATATTATTTTCCATTTTTTAACCCCTGGTAAGCGATCTTTCAGTGGCGCATGTCCTGATTGCTATGTTTCCGTTTCAGAGTAGACGAAGAACTTTTAGTGACAACATGTAATTTGCACGTCGTAAACTAGAAATCACATGCAACAAAATCTCTTCCAAAAAGTAGATTATTTTGTTTCAACCTCTTCTCGACGATACCCGCTATGGTTCGATTCTCGTAACTGACCAATTAATCCTCGTAGCTTGGCTGATTGGCGCTTACAGGAAGTTCGACTGCATGTATTAGACGTAGCTGACGGTTTCCTTGGGGCTCAATTGGGCGCTCGACAAACAGAACGCAGGCTAGTAGTAGGGAATTTTCCTAATTTGACTTTTGCAAGAAAAGACTGTTTTTTACTACTCAGTAACAGGGAGCTTTAGCAACAACGACGGTGACGGCGACGAGAAAGTCAAAAAAGCAATTGGTTTGTTAATCAAAACAACAACTTTACACGTGTATCACGCTTTTTTTGTACATTTCGTTGCCGTCACCGCACGACTACGACGTGAAAATGCCTAATTTTACGTTTCATGGAGGACGTAAACAAGCGACGACGAATTTTTCTTTCTCTTTCTAAACTTGCGTGCGGACCCCAAGAAATCACTTCTCAACTCGCCTCCATTCGACATTTTCAGCGAACTGGAATAAACGCGACCAAGTTTCGGAACAAATGGTAATTCATTTAAAAAGTGACGTTTTTACTGCAGTCGCCGTTGATACGAAACTAAACTTTCCTACCCTTTTTGCTCTTTCAGTGTTGCGTTTTGACCGGATCCCTCTGTATGGTGTACTTATCCTGTCAATTGGAGGAGGCTTTCTAGCCGCATTAATCGTCCACTTCTTTGTAAGCCCATACTTGAAGAAGAAAATTGTCAGAGAAGTATATGGTGATGACGACAACGGCACCGCTTCGTCACGTCAAGACAGGACTGTTTCCTTTACCAAAGGAGGAAATTGCTCTGAAAATGGGGTAACTTCAGATGAAAAGAACCCCAATGGTAGGTACAGCTGTAGAAAGCCGTGAATCCTTAAATTAACTTATTCGCCACCCGCGCAATTTTGGCCGAAAACCGCCTTTTGAAGCTAGTAAAACCTATTCTCGTCACTCTCTCGCCGAAAACAACCAAAACCGCCTGAGACTTAGTTCTTAATGGAGAATTACACTTTTGTTGCTGATGCCGCATTACGGCTTCCGAAGTTCGGGCGTGCGCATGAGGCAAAATTTTCCCACAACTCTGTCCCTTTGGTGAGTGTGTCTATTCTCTAAAACCATCCTCTATCATTTCCTATGTTCCTAATAATGAGAATTTGTTTAGCAATCAAGACCTTTTTCATTTAGTAATTATGTCCTTATTCGCATGATCGCTTTTTTTGTTTAAGTGATTATTTTAAGAGGGAAATTAGGTGATAGTTACTCTATGAGGTTTGGATGTTCTGTTTTCTCTGTTTTCTACTTTAACAATAGTTTAGTCCCGTTAGCTTAGTTTCTGTATTAACCAGTGACCAACAACAATTTTCTCCTAACGATAGCCATACATTGTCAAGAGATACAGTTATGAGAATTAACAAATGACCACCAAAGAGAAAATGCCTTGATCTTTTATTAAATTCTCTCAACTAATTCTTAAAGGAAATGTATGGAGATCAGTTTGGAGAATTTGTATTTTGATATTGGGACTTAAAGGGTTAAGGGGGTTCCACCGTGTTTGTTTAAACCCCAGATTCCAAAGAAACAAATGAGCCCGATGATGAATCCAACCAAGAGGAACATGATGAAGTCACGTTAACCGTTCGGTCAGACGAGTCGGCACCTGTTCCCCCATCTCCAGAGCCAACACCGCGTCGCTCTTCATCCTCGTCTCCCAGTGACTCTAAAGTGCTGATAGAAAGCAGTGAACAGAATGGCACAGGACCGAACCAGGCACAGATAGAACGGGCCAGATCACGAGGAATGTCGTTGCTAATGGAGGCGAGGAAGCAAGTCACAGACGAACCCAAGACCGGTAAACTTTTTGCGTTCTTGCAGATTTTGACGGCTGCTTTTGGAGCCTTTGCGCACGGTGGCAATGACGTCAGGTAATAATGTGTTGATTTTGATATATCTCTTTTCCTGGATGAAATCTCGTGGTGTGACGATACAAACGAGAAACCGTGACTGCCATCATTATTTTAGCTTTATTTTTTAAGTTCATCTCGATCTGGATAGTTTTCTCTGAAACTAAACTTCATTAAACCCATGGTCAATAGATGGGTGTGGGCATGGAGAAGATGCCTGGTTAAACTGAGAGAGCGGGAAGTCAGCGCGGAAGGTGATGAAGCCACCAGGTATCATCACTGCACTGAGAGCCTAAGCTTGAGTGGAGAGTTTCACAGAGATACTTACCATAGGACATCCCAGAGGGAAGGAAGGACTGAGAGCTTGCAAAAAAGGGCTTAAGTGACTGCACGCGATGGCCACGTGAGCGAAATGATTCATGACCACAGCAAAAGCGCTGTAAAATTACTAGAGCCCTGCAAATACCCAAAGACCGCCCCAGATACGATTAGTGATGGAGACCGCTGGCTAGCTTTATCTCGTGTTAAACTTCGCGTAAATTACATTTAGCCACATCAAATATCAATCTGGGCCCAGTTGCTCGAAGCATGGTTAGCGTTAACCAGCGTTTACTCCCTTGACAACGTATTGGTTTTGATACTGCTTAACCAACGGTTAAAGCTAACCATGCTTTGAACAACTCAGCCCAGGCCTGTGTACAGACGACCCCTCTCCTAAAGAAAAAAATCTGGTAGAGTCTCTTTCCCGGATTTTTTTTCTTATCATGGGAGGGGACGTCTCTACACAGGCTAGTATCAACCCTCTAACTGACGGTCATTTTATTTTTTTTCTTTATTCAGCAACGCCATTGGACCGTTGATCTCGTTATGGGTTATCTTCTCATCAGGCATAATTCAGGATAAGGTTTTGATCCCGTTCTGGATTTTGGTCTACGGAGGTCTTGGGATTTGTATCGGTCTGTTTGTTTGGGGGCGTCGCGTCATCAAAACTGTAGGAGAGGATCTTACTCCAATTACTCCATCAAGGTGTAGTGCAGTACATTTTAAGCTTAATTTTCTGGCACCTTTCATCAAAGAAACAAAGAGTCGCTCAAGACCCTGATGGGGCGGGGGTAGCGGGAAAGGCGCAGTGTTGGAAGCACTCGCCTCTTACAAATGTGGTCTGGTTTCGGTCCCGGCGTCGACGCCATGGGTTCCATCGCGGTAAAACGTCTAGGACATTTTCATCTGGGGTGTTTTTCGCATAGCCACCTGTGTCTTTTAGAGCAGAGACAACTAAAGAGTCAATAAAGACGAAAACGGAAAGCGAAAATTGTTTCTGTATCCGTGTTGTCTAAAGTATTGGGCTTAGATTTAATTGTCATGTCCACGAATTTGGCATATGGAGATAGAGAAAGACAGGGAAAAAAACAAAGTAGGCCACAGGCCAGCAAAGCTCAACGAGAAAAAGAGCGACAGAGAGCTAGTGCGACAGATTAAAAATAAAGGGAACATTTTTTGTTGGAAGAAAAACATAAAAATTTTGTAGCGGCAGTGAGAAAATGGGAAATGCTTGCGGCAACGAAGGTGAAAATGAGCGGCAGTAATAAAAAAGTGAACAAGAACAAGTACGACATTTCCTCCATAAAACGTGTAACTAAGAAGTTTCTGGAAGTTTCATGTTGTAGTCGTGCAAAACAACGGCAAAGAAATGTACAAAAAGAGTGTGCTGCACGTGCAAAGTTGCTTTTTTTGCTAATTAGACCTATTGTTGTCTTTTCACCTCTCTCGTTGCCTTCGCCTCTCAGCATTATACGATTTTATATTTTGTTTGAACAAACTATAAATATTATCTAGAGCTAGAGCCTTCGGCCTCATGGGCTATTGACTCACACCCCATTCGGGCTCGAGGAGTAGTTGTTAAATATTACAGTAACTCAAACACAGGTAGCCTGAGAAATCTTCCCGTCGCCACCACTGGTTTCCCCGCCAAATGACGTCTGAGCAACTACTGCAGAAACTCCATACTGATGACGTTGACTACTAAAGATCTAGATAGTGTTTCTGACTGGTTGAAGCAAATGGGGGTCCGAAATACCGATTCCATATGTAGAGTGTGTCCAATTAGATGAATACTCTTAGAGAATCACAGAGTATCAGTTCTTGAAACTTTTAAGCATCACCTTTTCGTCTCTAAGTAACTAAAGTTGTTGTTTAATCGATAGGTATTTATTTATGTACCGTAATGTTCCGAAAATAAGCCCCCCAAACTCGTAACGCAAAAAACCCTCCGTTAAATTGCCCCTCCAAATATAAATCCCCGGGGCTCGTACTTGGAAATTGCCCTCAAATTCAAAGTAAAACAAAGCAAAAACTGTACAGTAACATTTGCATTTGCCAAATAACTATTACGGGTACCAAATGACTGCTTTCAAAACGTGTCACAGTATATTACTGTTTGCGTAGTTCACTGTTGACTCTTGGCTTGGATTTCCTCGTTCCATTTTGAAAAAGTACTTGCATGGCAGAGTTTTAGTACGATCTGCGTCCTCAAGGCGAGTTTCAATAAAACCTCTCTGCAAATTACTGACTCAAATTTCCTTCTAAGTATAAGCTAGCCCAATCGATTAGAGACGTAAATTCCCCTCCCAGTATAAGCCTAGCCGATTTCCCTCCGTATATAAGCTCCTCAAAAAGGGCCTTCAAAAATTATAAAGCCCGGGGCTTATTTTCGGTATTTTACGGTATTTTAATTATGATAAACCAAACGAATACGGTAATAGGTATAGCATTGCTGATATACAGCTTAGTAGATTCCCGACAAAGTGGAATCTGACATATGTGGCTTATATGTGTTTGATTTGATTTTGGTTTCAGTGGCTTTGTAATAGAGATCGGTTCAGCACTGACCGTACTGTGTGCCTCAAACCTGGGTATTCCTATCAGTACCACCCACTGTAAAGTCGGTTCTGTTGTTATGGTCGGAAGGGTGCGGTCCAAAGAAGTTGTGGATTGGTCCTTGTTTAGGAACGTTATATTGGCTTGGNTCAAAAAGGGCCTTCAAAAATTATAAAGCCCGGGGCTTATTTTCGGTATTTTACGGTATTTTAATTATGATAAACCAAACGAATACGGTAATAGGTATAGCATTGCTGATATACAGCTTAGTAGATTCCCGACAAAGTGGAATCTGACATATGTGGCTTATATGTGTTTGATTTGATTTTGGTTTCAGTGGCTTTGTAATAGAGATCGGTTCAGCACTGACAGTATTGTGTGCCTCAAACCTGGGTATTCCTATCAGTACCACCCACTGTAAAGTCGGTTCTGTTGTTATGGTCGGAAGGGTGCGGTCCAAAGAAGTTGTGGATTGGTCCTTGTTTAGGAACGTTATATTGGCTTGGGTTGTGACTATGCCGATAGCAGGTATGTAATGAACTCTAAATCAGTCTGTGTCTTTCGTTTACCAAGAATGGCAATTTATATATGTAATCACATGGGCAATTAAGGATTAATGTCACTTTTATTTTCAAGGTTTTCCCAAAATTGCCCGAGTCGCTTTGAGGGCACTTGCGATTACTTGTTTATCACATAAAGGGCAAAATGTTTGAAGGAATTGCATTCGCGCACGATGTCCGCGCGATGGAGCCCTTTCAGTGCCGCCAAAAATGTCAAAACAAACTTAACTTTTGCCCTTTATGTGATAAACAAGAAATCGCAAGTGCCCTCGCGACTGGGGCAATTTTAGGAAAACTTTGAAAATACGCTTGAAATTTGCACGTGCAAAGTTGTTTTTTCTTTTTTGGCTAATTAGAAAAAAGTTTGCTGCACGTGCAAAAATTGTTTTTTGCTGATTAGATGTATTATTGTTGTTTTTTACCGTTCTCGTCGTCTTCACCTTGTCTCAGGTATCACTCGCTACCGTGCTTTAGTTTCTCAATAAAGTCTTCGTCGGTTTCAACGAAACGGGAAGCCATTTTTGCAAAAAAATTTCATCGGTAATAACGCTTCGTTGCCAAGCAACTTATATTCAATCAGCATTAAGTAATAATGCCCTCTTGATTACCAAAAGTGCCCTCTGTCTCAGCCAATCAGCATCAGTAATTTTTCCCGGCATGTGATAAGCTCCTTAAACGGAGCCGAAAACAAAATTAACTGGGTTTCCGATAGTCAAGCCTGTACTCTGGGTAGCAAAGGTTTTGATTGAGTGCGGCGGAGATGTTTCGGGGTCGGCCTCCGATCAACACGTCTTCTGCCTTAGGCGGAAGCCACGAGCAGGCTTTTGATCGAAACCGGAAACCGCGCATGAAAAGTACACCAGGGTACCAAACCTGAGAAAACAACCGATATTTCCCCGGCCACCTCTGGTTTCCCCGCGAAATGAAGTCTGAGGAACGAGCGCAGAAATTCCATACTGATGACGTTAACTACTAAGATCTGGATAGTGCTTCTGATTGGTTAAAGCAAAATTTCCCACGCACTACTACCAATCAGAGGCACCAACTGCCATCCATTACGACAACCGAGAAACCGATAAAGTGATTTTGGTCAGTTTTTAACGCTTATAGCCTTTCTCTTGCATTTATTCCAGGTCTCATATCAGCGGGACTTTTTGCAGCATTGAGAGAAGCTGTGTAAAAGATAATATAACTCAAATACGTCGGTCATGTAGTGGACTACGAGTAGTCCCCCATTCTTCCTCAGGGATAGTAGAGCGTGCGAGACGCGAGCGCGCGTGAAAATCATCCCACACGAGAAAAGGCGACACGCGGCTGGGAGCATTTTTCTTTCTCCCCGCCGCGCGTCGCCTTTTCTCGCGTGGGGTGATTTTCACGCGCGTTCGCGTTTCGCTCGCTCTACTATCCCTGAGGAAAAATGGGGGACTACTTGTAGTCTAGTTATGTATCAATAATGTGATTGAACTCCTGATCACGTTCAGGATGAAAAAATTTATCAGGTGTCTATGATTACATGGATGATCTTAGGTATCGACTTGTAATTGATAATTTCCTTTTCTTATAACCTGCGAGTAAACTCTCCATTTGGGGGATCTGCGACAAGTCACGCGTGAGGCACGCGAAAGGTAACGCGAGAGTAACAGGCCCTCGGGTGTTATCTAATGGCTCGCTTTGCTCGCCAAAAAATGGACAGCTTGCTCGCAAGCTATCTTTCTTTAAAAAACACGTGGCCCGTAAAGGGGAAGTGTTAATCATTCTTCGATGCATCAGTTTCAAGGATGTTGATGTATGTGACTTCTAGGACTAAAAAGACTTTCCGAACCTTGGTGTGTCGTAAATAGGAATATTTGAGTGTGATGGTAGCGTAAAATGTTCGGCTGAGATGTACTTCCCGTCACATGCTGCTGCCTCAAAAGTGTTCTGCCGTATTAGTGATCAATGCTCTAACGAATTATTTATTTCAGTGATTAAAGCTTTAATCATTTATTTAATTATTTATTCGAACGTATAAGAGATTAACACATTCTGTGATTCGCTTTTATACAGTGTTCTGCACGAACTTCTTATATTTACGTCATCTTATTTGACAATATTGTGATGTTGATGTGGTGACTAGCTTTGTTTTACGACCTTTTGTAGCTGGTATAAGAGTATTTTTAACGTTTCCCGTGCAATGACTTCTTATTTGTTTGTACAATTCACGAAGTCGTTCATTTCAAGCTAACTTGTGATCAAAATTCATTAGTTTATTGTTCTACCCGAGAACTAAGACTATTGAGCCCAAAGCATGGCTTGTTTTAACCGTAAATATAGCGCTACAAGCTTCTCCCAGATTGTCAAATTATGAGGAAATTCTATTTTTCATCTAATTGAATTATGCATAAGTGAACAATCTTGATACCCTTAATTCCTTCCCGTCATTCCTATCGTCCCCGCTTTTCTTATTCCTAAAGAAAAAAATCTGGTAGAGTCTCTTTCCCGGATTTTTTTTCTTATCATGGGAGGGGACGTCTCTACACAGGCTAGTATCAACCCTCTAACTGACGGTCATTTTATTTTTTTTCTTTATTCAGCAATGCCATTGGACCGTTGATCTCGTTATGGGTTATCTTCTCATCAGGCATAATTCAGGATAAGGTTTTGATCCCGTTCTGGATTTTGCTCTACGGAGGTCTTGGGATTTGTATCGGTCTGTTTGTTTGGGGGCGTCGCGTCATCAAAACTGTAGGAGAGGATCTTACTCCAATTACTCCATCAAGGTGTAGTGCAGTACATTGAAACCTTAATTTTCTGGCGCCTTTCATCAAAGAAACAAAAAGTCGCTCAAGACCCTGATGGGGCGGGGGTAGCGGGAAACGCGCAGTGATGGAAGCACTCGCCTCTTACAAATGTGGTCTGGTTTCGAGTCTTGGTGTCGATACCATGAGTTCCATTGCGGTCAGACATCTAAGGAATTTTTTTCTAGGGTTTTTTTTGCATAGCAACCCGCGTCTTGTGAAGCGTAGACAACTAAAGAGTTAATAAAGACGAAAACGGAAAGCGGAAATTGTTTCCGTGTCCGAGTTGTCTAAAGTATTAGGCTTAGATTTAATTGTCATGTCCACAAATTTCAAACTGATCTAGAGAAAGAGAAAGACAGGGAAAAAAAGAAAATAGGCACAGGCCGGCGAAGCTCAACGAGAAAAAGAGCGACAGAGAGCTTGTGCGACAGATAAAAAACTAAGGAGACATTTTTTGTTGGAAGAAATACATGAAAATTTTGTAGCGTAGTGAGAAAATGAGAAATGCTGGCGGCCTCGAAGGTGAAAATGAGCGGTAGTGAAAAAAATAAGTAAAAATAAGTGAACAAGAACACGTAAGACATTTCCTCCACAAAACGTGTAACTAGGAAGTTTCTGAAAGTTTCAAGTTATAGTCGTGCAAAACAACGGCAAAGAAATGTACAAAAAAAAGTGTGCTGCACGTGCAAAGTTGCTTTTTTGCTAATTGGACCTATTGTTGTCCTTTCACCGTTTTCGTTTCCTTCGCTGCTTAGCATTACACCATTTTATATTTTGTTTGAGGAAACTGGAAACATTATCGAAAGCTTCGTTTTTAGCCCTGGCTAAATCTATATATTACAGTCAGTCAAACACAGGTGGCCTGAGAAATTTTCGCGTCGCTACCACTGCAGAAATTCCATACTGATGACGTTCACTGTTTCTTATTGGTTGAAGCAAATTTCCTTATCGACACGACTAATAGACCTATTCGGCTAACTCAATGTTGTACCCAATTCAAATCTCCCGGGGATAAGATTCTTTGTGTATTGTATTTGCATTATAATGTGGCATTCACATTTAAATGATATGGAAATTTCTGAAACAAAACGTTTTATTCCCAAAAGGTTTGAATTGGGTACAACATTGAGTTAGCCGAATAGGTCTATCAGAAGCGCTACCCAGATCTGGGTGGTGACACGTCATCAGTATGGAATTTCTGCACTCGTTTCTCAGACGTCATTTGGCGGGAAAACCAGTGGTAGCGTGGCGAAATGTCGTCTATTTTCTCAGCCTAAAACAGAGGTAAAGATGTTTGAATTCATTCGTTAACGCAACTAATCTATCTTTTTCGTTGAAAACGTTCTCTAAGTCAAGTCTTGCTGGAAAATGACGCCGAGAATAACACCAGCTTCGGTTTAAAAATTCTTAGAAGGATTTTATTCAATCAACTTTCAAAAAGTTTAGTTAACTAACTGGGTATTGGTTTTAACAGTAAAAGTAGTAACCTTAGCTTTGAAGTACTCTGCTTAGCTTTTGTAAATCTATCTCGTTTGGTCGCGGAGAACTTATGGTTTATGTTTACTGTTGTTTCTCTGCATCGAGAGGTTTTTCTCCCGGTACTCCAATTTTAATTTCTCTCGTCAAAAACTAACATGGGGGTGCGAAATTCCATTTCCATCTTAGAGTGTGTTCGATTAGTTGAATACTCTTCGAGCATCACAGGTTATCAGTTCATGAAACTTTTAAGCGTCATCTTTTCGTCTCCTAGTAACTCAAGTTGGTTATTTAATAGATATTGATTTATTTGTATTTTTTTTATTATGATAAACCAAACGAATACGTAATAGGGTAGCTTTAGTGATATACTACGATCCGACATATATTGCAATCCTAAAAGTCTGGTGTACTTGTATTTAAATTCCGACCCTGCTCGCCATTAGAGTTCCAGTAGCTCAGTGGTTAGAGCGTCCGAACAAGACCTCGGAGGGTCATGAATTCGATTCCCACCTGGAGCGCGGAAAATTTTTCTGAGCTTTCTGGTGTTTGAATTCTCCTTTCTCTTTAATTTATAATAATTATATGGGTTTGATTTGATTTTGGTTTCAGTGGCTTTGTAATAGAGATCGGTTCAGCACTGACAGTATTGTGTGCCTCAAACCTGGGTATTCCTATCAGTACCACCCACTGTAAAGTCGGTTCTGTTGTTATGGTCGG